AACAGTGTGTCAACAGTGGGCACATTTGGCTTGGCTAAAGTTTACCCTCGGCCTAAGCAAAAAAGGCTGAATCCAGTACAGTACGTCACGTATCCAGCTCGCTGGGGGGGGGGGGGGGGGGGGGGGGCTGAAGTACAGTGTAGGCGGACATGTGAACACTTTTCAGAACATAGATGGACTCGTCCTTCTAAACAAACTGCCAAATCGCTGCCCGTGGTGCTAACGTTTTTTTTTAAATAAATAAATAAAAACGCCGTTTATACATAAATAAATGCAAACCGCCACTTCTTTCAAATGTTTCTTGCCGTTGGTTTTTCATACCTGATGATGACCGTTTGTGTTATGGTCGAAACGTCGTGAGAATTTTTATTGTTTTATATATATTTTATTGTTTCCCTTCAACGTGACTTTACCGAAAGAGCTACGAATATGAATACTTATAAATACAATTATACTAATGGATTACTCGACAGAAATGCAATGCAAACTTCTCTAAACGTGCGGAGATGTTCTGCTTGTACTTGGGAAGTGAGCACATTTGACACGAGGTTAAAACATACGACTGCGTGACAATCTGTCAATGTTTTCGAACCCTCTCTAGTAATTGCCAGTTCGGCAGACAAATTGGTCGAGGTGGATCTATGGCGGTTGGACGTGCGGCGTTGTGCTGTAGTGTTTTGGCTGCCTTCTTTGTCGAGTCGGCTAACTTCGTCTGGGTATGCAAGATTTGATTGTACCTCTGGACCCACAGCACAGCATAATGCCGTAGGTTCTAGATTTAAAGCTTTCGTGACTGCAAGGATCCATACTCTTTGGTTCTATTCGGTAAAGTCACGTAAAAAACAACAAAAAATAAAAAAAAATCTCACTCCAGCGCTGTCCTCTAGACAGTCTGCTCCCTTCACCTGATGAAGGCCACTTGTGTTGTGGCCGAAACGTCGTGAATTTTTTTTATTTTTTTATTTTTTGTTGTTTTTTTACGTGACTTTACCGAATAGAACCAAAGAGTAATGCCGTAGGTATCTCCACAAATATTCTCTGCGAATATATTTTGTTATTCTCTCCACCGAGCCGCTCATGAATTATTTGGTGGCGTGTATTCATATCGTTTTGCGTCTAATTAGGACCCATATCGAACAGCGAGGGTCTTTGCCGGTAAAAAAAGTTCTTGCTCAATTATTCAAGGAATGCGCATTAACTTTTGTCAATTATTACAGCTTTAACAGAACTGTTTTGTTGCTGGCAGCCTGACGTCTTGGTCTTTAGTGGGCCCTGTGCTCGGCAGGAAAATGTGTTTAAAGAGTAAAATCAAAATGCTGCCACCGCTGCCTCTGATAAAGCACAGGGGTCACACGGCTGAAAGGTTACCACCACTTATTAGAATCAGCTACGAAGCTTTTTTTCACCCGATATCTTGGCCTCCCGACTGTGTGCTGACACCGATTACCGAGACGCTAACAGACGTGTTATCACCTCCACAGTCGTGCATGCGCACGATTGTTGGAGATGCCGATGAAAATCTCTTCCTCAGAATCTGCTATAATCCAGGTGAATGTGTTTTAAGCAAACCTGAGTGGAATACGTTGAACGTTGTTGTATTTTTTTTTACCAAAACGGCAGTGAAGATTTAGGGTTGGATTCACTTGTTGAAACGGCCAATACGGAATCCACCTCGGTGGGGTGGATGATAAATCGGGCATGAGGGCCCGATTTACCAAAGTCGGTGTTGTGCAATTTGCAGTATTGTCCAGAGAGCTCTGTCAAATAAATGGCGTATCTCGGTGACTAAAAGGAATGCTGCTGCAAAATCTCAGCCAGTTTGTTATGGAAAGTGTTCAACCGAAACCCAGAGACAGAGAGAGAGAGAGTTACAGAAAGAATCGAAACGGTAGTGCGTTTTTTTTGTATTCCTACATGTTATTCCGTACTCGTAATTCATTCCACCTTGACCCGATAACACGAAGCCTCGCCTCACATCAGCTTGAGTCAGACGTTCGGAACGCCTGGGATTATTTGCACAAAACATCAAAATGGGCCGTGTGCGTCTGATACAAGCGAGCCACGGTGGTGAGATGTTGACTACCTCGCCAGATATACAGGAGGTCGTGGGTTCGATCTCGACCCTGATGCTTATATATTTGGAGTTTGCACGTATTCCCCGTGGTCACGTGGATTTTTTTCTCCGGTTTTTCTCTCCACATTTAGAATCCACGTGCTTTTAGAGTGTTTGGCCCGCGAAATATTTCCACGTGATAAGCCACTTCGGTGAGCTATCATTTATTGCCAGGTCACTTCTGAAAAAGGGCTTTGTAACTCAGTGGGCCTTATCGGGTAAAATAAAATGTTTTTTTAGTTTAGAGCCACGCTCTGATTGTGAAGTTGAGGCAAACGTAATAATTATATAAGTTGTACCATCGTGAATGAGGGAGGCTTGGGTGGTGGGTGGGTGGGGATAATTTAACGGCTGTGGACGATGCAGTGGAGGCAGGATGGAACATGCCACCCTGCGGTCCGAACGCCACTCCCTTGGATGCCTTCTCGCTCACGCGCATGTGCGGGACGCAACGCCCAACTCGCTCGCCCACGCAGACTCACACGAACACTCCCGCGTGATGACACAACAACTCGCATGCTTAACACTCCACACAGAAATGCCCACCCACTCGCACAATGCTTTACTCAAGCGCATGTGCACAAGCTCACGAGCAACGACAACAACAACTGCCGTTCGCCACTAGGTGGCGGTGACATCACCACGACGTGTGTATCAGGCCAGGTGCACCTTGAGGCCACGTGACAGTGTCGAAGGTTCACTAGCAAGAAGTCACGGGATAGACTTATGGGTTGAATGACTGAGATGACTGGCTGATGCACCAGCTGTGCCCCTACTGGGCCAACTCGCTGTGTTTTAGCCGCCCAGCGCGCTTCTCTCGTTGTTGTGAGTGTCGCTCCTCTGCCCTCCGCCATTTTTGGAGGGCGACTGCCTCCAACTGCCCAGTAGCTTCCTTCACGATCCTCCTCCACAGAGGGCGATCTTGATACCAGTGATTTCAGTCACTGGAAAGTACACTCAGCTCCATATCATCCTGCATTGCATCGGCCCATATCTTCAGCCCATGCCGCACCCGTTTAGCCCCCTCTATCCGGCAAAACAAAAGCTGCTTGGGTATGCGGTGGCTGGGCATGCGAGCTACATGATGCAACCTCGCTTTCTGGAGGAGCTCACTGATGGGACTGTCCAGATTTTTCAAGGATCTATGAGCTCACACAATTCAGTCTGAGTAAACCTAGGATGGATTGTAGGCAAGCCAGCCTGAACGTTTCAAAGCGGCGCATATGTTTATTTTAGAGGGATCCATGTTGCGGAAGCATAGAGAAGAGAGGGCATAACCGTGGCCAAGAAGACCGGGAGCTTCATATGGAGTGATAGGCCACGTAGCTTCCACATAACGTTGCACAGCTGATGAAAACATAATGCTGCCCGACTGATTCAGAGTGATACCTTTGCTGCCAAACCGGAGCTAGCCATAAGCACACTACTCAGGTATGAAACTTCTCAACTCTCTCCACAACTGCCCCATTACTCATGGGGAATTAGGAGGGTGGGGCATGTGATGACATCAAATACCCAGGGAGGGCCATTGTATATTTGTGGGGCTGATGGTAAGGCCCTCTTTTTGGGAGTGGTAGGCGTACGTTCAACAGTAGAGTCTCCAACTCGTCAGAGTGAGGAGCATTTATCAGATTATCAGCATACATAATTTGGTAGGACCATAAGGGAACCATGCCTTGACTGCACCCGGGCATCTATCAGCCTCCCATTGTATCTGTACTAAATAGAACTTTATTTGGTACAGCCATGGATAGCTTCTCAAACTATATGGTCAAAAAATATGTCGGAGCCAGAGGGCACCCCTGTCGTATCCCAAGGTAAACATAAATGGCTTTGACTCCCAGCCACGCAACTTTTACCTGGGCTTGCCCAGCATCATGAAGGTCCCCTCAATGATTCTGAGCAGGGGGTCAGGGACCCCCAAAAGCACGAAGAACAACCCAAAGCCCAGGCCTGTTGATGGTATCATAGGCCTTGACCAGGTCAGTTAAGTAGAGATGTAGGTCCTGTTGAAACCGTACATCACTGCTGTGGCACACAAAGACAACGATCCCCTGTTATAGCCTTAACATATTTTTTGAGGCAAGTGCTATTAGTAACACCCATGAAGTCCAGTATAGCACACGAGGGGGTGGCCAGCACAACGCCCGGCCACCTTTATCTTCCTAGTGGCGAAGTTTACACACGCGTTTGAGTGTGAATGTGGACATCTGTGTTTGCGTGTGTGTGTGCGTGCGTGCGTCATGGGAGTGGTAGTGTAGTGGTTAGCACACTGCGGTACGAAACTGGCGACCTAAGTTCGATTCCCGCGCACGGCCACCAAGACCAGTGACAATTATCTGAAGAGCTCTTGGGCCTCCCCTAGGTCGACTTCGCCTCAAATGAGTATTTGGTGCAGTGTGTGAGCATCGCTACTGGGGAGACAAAGGCGGCCGGTCGTGATGCTGGCCACCCACCCCCTCATGTACTGTTCTAGCCTTCATAGGTTCTCGTTAACAGCACTTGCCCCAACAATCTGTTAAGGCTTTACGGGGGATCTTTGTCCTTTGTGCATGCGTCTGTACGTGGAAGTGGGCGCCTGTGCTCAAGGCTAGTGGTAGGCGCACGTTTGAAATGTTCAGTGCCGTAACGTGTTTGTAGTTGCCGATCTGAACCACAGGCGCACGACCGCAATAACAATGCTGTGCTGGATGTGTGAGTGAGCGAGCGAGCCGTCTTGTGTGAGTGAGCGAGCGAGCTTGTTCACGAGCCCACACATTCATAGGTAATTCACTTGCGCTCCCGCGTCTGGTTCTGTGTATTAACGCAGTTACTTGCTCGCTGCTGCTGCTACTGCCGCTGCTGCTGCCGCTGCGTTATCTTCGCTGGGTTTGCTTCGGTTCCCCAGCGTTTGGCGGCAGAACATCCAGGGCCATGCGTGGCAGAGACAAGTCCGGGCAGGAGGCCCGCGCCACGGCATCGAGGCTGCACGGAGGCATCGCCCAGCTGCGCGCCGAGCTCCAGGAGATCCGCCGCTTGCAGGTGACACTCGCAGCACCGGAGACACTGGAAACACCGGTGATATTTGTGACAATAGCTAGAAAATGGAAATCTTAAAGCTCACCTCTTCTCCATTGCCCATCATCTTCCTCTTCTCTCCACCCCGCCCCTCCACTTCTTCCCATCCCTCCCTTACCCTCTCCTAAGCCCCAATGCCCACCCTCATCGCTTGTAAGCCTCCTGCCATCTCAACAATATCTTTGCGAAACCGTTTTTGATTTGTTATTCACCTTCATCAAAGGTATTAAATATGATGACTCATGTGCCACTAACAATTACAGCAGCAGTTGAGCACGTCAACTTTCACAATCAATATTATTCGTAATAAAATTTTGCCAAAATCGCCCGATGATGCTGGATGCAATTGCCAGCGAAACGGTCACAGTACTCAAATTGTCAATGTGAATTTACTCTCCAACGCACCAGTGTGTTGGAGTATTAACTAACTGGCACGTTTTGGTTACGTGACAAACCTTACCAATTGGCTGTGTTGGGTGGTGGTGGGATAACGACACATTTATATTTACTTGGCCTAACCCAAAAAAACAACCGTTCAGTATGAATAACAGAAGCAGCAGCATGACGGTGTGGCGCCCTATCTCTGTGTCTCCCTCGGTCCGGCGATGCAGCTGAGCCAGCGGGCGGCATGGCAGGCCACGGTGGCGTCCGTGAGGCAGGAGATCGCGGGCCGCCTGGCGGGCGAGGCGGCGCGGGCCGCACGGGACGAGCCCGCGCGCAGGCTGCGCGCGCAGGCCGAGGAGGAGCGGCAGGCGTACGTGGAGAGACAGCGTGCGGCACAGCACCGCCTCAGGTAGGGCCGGCCCAGGGGAATCCCCCGGGGGGGGTGGTGGGGGGATCAATATCGGGACCCCCCCCCCCCACCCCGAACACCCAGCTTGTGGGGCATTACCCACAGCACGGGATACCCGCGCTGCCTGGGGCGAGGAATGCAGATGCGTGTTGCCTAGCAAGGACCTCATCGGTGAGCCGTCTGTCCCAGATGCACTGGCTTCGATCTGCCAAGGCGCCAGTGGGGGTTCAGTTGAACCGCTTCCGATGTGACGAAGGACAAGGGGTGTGCGTGCGTGTGTATGTGTGTGTGCCGCTTCCAGTGTGATGAGGGGCAGAGGGTGCGTGTGTGTGTATGTGCATGCGTGTGTGTGTGCCGCGTCTGGTTTGACGAGGGGCAGGGGCTGCGTGTGTGTGTGCCGCTTCCAAAGCAGCCAAAGCAGCTTTGGCTATGCAGTCCAGACCTCCCCAGAGACCCTGGCTGACAGAGGAGGTGTTTAGGATGGTTGAGAAAAAGCGACAGGCCCACTCTAATCGTCTACAGCATCCCACGTCAGAGAATGAGGAGGCTTACCGCAGCCTTTGCTCGGAGGTTCGGAGAGCCGTGAGGCGCTGCAAGGATGGGTGGTGGTCGCGGGTTGCTGAGGAGATGGAGTCTACCTCAATGGCCCGCGATCACAAATCCCTATTTAACTCCATCAAAAAAGTAACCTGCAGCGCCACACCTATTACCATAATTAGGAGAAAGAACGGTGATCCAATCTCCGACCCCCAGGAACAGGTTTGCAGATTTGCTGAGCATTTCTGTGAGGTCCTGGGGGAGGGGGAATCCCTCAGCCTGGAAAACATCATGGGACAAAGTGGGGATGACCCTGCTGAGGCTGCGGTGCCTCAAATATTGGAGGAGGAAGTCACCCCCTGTGAGTGGTTGGCTGAAGTGCCATCCGTTGAGGAAGTACTGAAGCGATCCAGAGTCTGAGACCAGGAAAGGCACCGGGCAGAGATGTTCTCCCAAGCGAAATGCTGAGGGATTGTGGCGTTTGTGCGCAGACTGCCCTATATGACATCATAACAACAATCTCGGCCACTGGACGTGTTCTGCAGGATTGGAAGGATGCCGTGGTGATCCCCCTCTCTAAGAAGGGGGACCGCACAGACTTAACAACTACAGGGGCATCTCACTCCTCAGTGTGCCGGGAAAGGTCCTGGCAAGGATTATTCAATATCACCTTGCTAGGGACGCTGAGGAGAGGCTTGCGGAGCCCCAATGTGGTTTCAGCAAAGGATGGTCCTGCACAGATGCCATATTTTCTGTCCGTCTGCTACAGCAGAGGTGTAGGGAATTCCAACAAAACCTACATCTCTGCTTCATTGACCTGGTCAAGGCCTATGATACCATCAGTAGGCCTGGGCTCTGGGTTGTTCTTCGTGCTTTCGGAGTCCCTGAACCTCTGCTCATGCTCATTAAGGACCTTCATAATGGTGAGCAGGCCCGGGTCAAGCTACGTGGCCGGGAGTCGGAGCTATTCCCTGAACACCTTGGGGTGTGACAGGGATGTCCTCTGGCTCCAACATTATTTAACATCTTTTTCGACCACATAGTTCGTGAAGCCTTCAGTAGCTGTACCGGAGGAATTTCCATCTGGTACACATACAATGGGAGGCTGATCGATGCCCGGGTGCGGTCAAGGGATGGCTCCCTATTGGTCAACCACATTATGTATGCCGACGACCTGGTAATTGTGGCTAACTCAGAGGAGGAGTTGGAGGCGCTGCTGCTGACACTGGAGTGTGCCACTAAGAGGTGGGGCCTTACCATTAGCCCCACCAAAACGAAGCACCTGCCTGGGTATTATGTACTATCGATCACTTCACCCCCACAACTCCTAATTGGTGATGGGGCAGTTGTGGAGAGAGAGGAGAGTTTCCCATACTTGGATAGTGTGCTCATGACCGGCTCCGGTTTAACAGCAGAGGTCTCACTCCGAATCAGTCGAGCGGCAATATATTTTCATCGATTGCGTAACGCTGTGTGGAAGCTCCCTGGTCTGTCGCTTCGCACGAAGCTTCGGGTCTTCTCGGCCACAGTCATTCCCTCCCTTCTCTACGCTTGCGAAACGTGGACCCCCTAATGGAACATCTTCGCCGTTTAGAAACAATTAGGCTGGCCTGCCTATGATCAATCCTGGGTTTAACCAGGCGGAATTGTGTGAGGAGCTCACAAATCCTCGAAAAATCTGGACAAAGTCCCATCGGTGAGCACCTCCGGCAGGCAAGGCTGCGTTGGCTGGGCCATGTAGCCCGCATGCCCAATCACCGCATGCTCAAACAGATTTTGTTAGGCCGGATCGAGGGGGCTAAACGGGCGCGGCACCGGCTAAGAGAAGAGATGGAGTGACGTGGTACAGGAGGATGTGGAGCTGAGTGGACTTGCCGATGACTGGTACCAGCGGTGTCAAGATCGGCCTCTGTGGAGGAGGCTCGTGAAGGACACTACTGGGCAGTTGGAGGGCGGAGGAGCGACGCTCACAACAACGAGCGGAGCGCCGGGTGGCTAAAGCACAGCAAGTTGGTACAGTAGGGGACACAGGTGGTGCATCAGCCCGTCATCTCAGTCAATCGATCCGTGGAACCTGGGTCTGCCCCGTGACCTCCTGCTAGCGAGCGTTCGACACTTCACGTGGCCTCAAGGTGCACATGGCCTGGCACAAGCGTCGTGGTGACATCACCGCCACTTAGTGGCGAATGGCGGTTGTTGTTGTTGTGCCGCTTCCGGCACAACAATAACATTCACACACACGTGTGAATGCGGGGGAGCAGCTAGACTGCGGCACGCAATCGTCTCGGGCTGTGAAGTCCGTCAGAGATTGGCCTGGTGGACATGTTGCCCTGCACTTGCTGCTGGAGGAGGAGGTTGCCATCGCATATGGGCACTGTGGCTACGTGGGCTGACGTCCACTCACAATATAACATCGACGTACATAGGTGTATTTACTTAATTATCAATTTTGTATTGTTTATCTGGTGCTCCAACTATGTAAAAGCGGTCGCTAAATAAGCCAAGGTCGGTCGGGGAGTCTGCGGTCGACATTAAAACACCAAAGACAAAGATGCACCCCACCCGTATGGCCTGTAACAGACTGTTGGGGCAAGCGCTGTTAATGGGTAGAACCTATGAAGAAGGCCAACACAGCTCATGAGGTGGGTGGGTGGCCAACACCACATCCACCCACCTTTGTCTCTCCAGCGGTGATGTTGACAAATCGTCACCAGCTACTCATTTGAGGCGTTGGCCGTGAGCGGGAATCGAACTCGGGTTGCCGGGTTCGTAGCGCAGCGCGCTGACCGCGACACCACCGATCGACAAACAACCGCCAACCACCACCTCGCTACCAGCATTTGCTACCCGCCGCCAGGTCCCGCATTCGCTGCACAGTAGAGACACGCGGCCACCTCGGGGATCTGCCCTCACGATATCACCCCGCCCCCCGTGCTCGCGGATCTCGTGGAGACCACTCCACGGGGGCGATGAGATGTTATCTCCCTCGCCTGGTATGCAGGAGGTTGCGGGTTCGATCCCAACCCTGATGTTGCCTCTATATCTGAGTTTGCATGTTCTCCCCGCGGTGGTCGTGTGGGCTTTTCAACGGGTCCTCCGGTTTTCCCCTCCACATTTAGGAACGTGGGTTTAGATTGCTTGGCTGCTACTATAAAAATCCCACGTGAGATGATGATTATCGGCCGCTTCGATGAGCTATCGTCTGTGGGCAGGTCACCGCTAAAATTCGCTAACAGCTCGGTGGGCTTTACTCGGTGAATAAAGTAGTTTAGTTTTACGTTTAAGAATCTCCCACTAACCTGCCCTCCCCCCCCCCATCCTGCAAACGTCTCTCACAATTGGCACGTTTGGTTACTTACGATCCGAAATAAGTTCTACATTGGAGCGCTGTCTTTCCGACAGCTCTGTTTCTTCACCTGAGGACGGCTGCTTGTGTTGTGGCCGAAATGCCGTGAGAATTGTATTTTATTATGTTTTTTTCTATTTCCCTTCTACGTGACTTTACCGAAAGAACCAAGGAGAAGTTATACATGCATACAAGCGCAACAGTTTTTCCGAGTCACATCCAAAGCACTCAGCTGCCACATTCTCTACCAGACAGCTGCATTGCTTACCCGGTCTTGCCATGAAAATCCTCGGCATCTGCCTCGGGCACCTGTGCTTAACTGCCAATAACTTATTTTCAATCTGCATAGATTCCCTCCTCTCGGCCATTTCTTGTCACTGCCAATAAACTACTGTACTTCGTCTTGGCTTTAGGCTTGGGTATTACTGGTGCACATGCATGCATCCAATCCACTGCTGGATGAGAAACCTCCTAATACCATGTGGGTGGTGGAGGCTACGTGACCATACTTCACCACGCTCGCTCAGCGCGGGTCTGGTGAAGGCGGGACGCATAGACGTACAGTGAAACAAGGGATTTTGCTTCACCACGTAGCCTTTCAGCAGCCTCCTGTAGCACCTGTTATGCACGATGGTCACCCATGCAGGTCCCAAGGTTGCTTGGCTACCGAGATCTAAAGAAAGCGGGCACATTCCTGATTAGTGGGTCATAGGCGATGCATATATTTATGCTATGTTGTGATGGGTTTTTTTAAATAAAGCATTTAACCCCGCTCCCTCTACTCCCTTAAGTTCTTCCCTCGCCTTCCGCTTCCCACTCGGTGGGGCATCAGCGAGCCCAATGTCCCCTTCCTCTAAACCCAGGGGCACAGCGTTCGGGAATTCTGTAGCCCCCACACACGTCGCGGTTTGTGCTCTGTACCGGGCTCCAACCGAAATCTCATCGTAAGAAAAACATACAGCGTCCGCATGCTCAGCAGTAAGGTTTAACTACGACAATTGGTTCAGAGATTCGATCTTTTAATTAAAACAGGAGAGAGAGCTATTTTTTGCCATCCACGTGTTACGCGCTGGGAACGAAATTGTGAGCGCTTGTCGGTGGTGCGCGTTGATACAGCGGTGGGATCGAATGGCGAAAAACGGTGCTCGCGTTACCCCCATCGAGTTGCAAAGGATTGCCATCCAATTACAGTGACATCATTGGATTAGGGAATCCGTAATGAGCGCGACAGCCCGATTTTGGCAAGTGTCGTCTCTCCGTGCAGCTGTTTTATATGGCCACACTTTGTTCTCGTCATGATCGGCGAAGCTGCCGGTGTATTTGGGTGCCGCGGTGGCCAGGAGATGTTGACTACCTCACCTGGTATACAGGAGGTCGTGGGTTCGATCCCGACCCTGATGCCTGCTGCTGTATATTTGGAATTTGCATGGATTTTTCTCCGAATTCTCCGGGTTTTTCCCTCCACGTTTAGAATCAACATGCATTTAGACTATTTCGCTGCTATACATTTCCTCGTGATAAGCCACTTTGTTAAGCTATCATTATTGATTGCCAGGTCGCTTCGGAAAATGAGCTACATGGCTCAATGGGCCTTACCAGTTGAAACAAAAATAGTTTTAGTATTTAACGATAGTTATTCATCGTGGAGCTCTTGGGCAATAACTCTTTGATGAATTTTCCCTTTTTTTTTCTATCTATCGGAAAAGTCCCCAACAGCAATACAAAGATGACACTCGAATTTAATTCGCGTCGGATCATCTCTGCAAGAGGCACCGTGCCCTGTCCCTGCAGGCTCACAGACAGAGCTGATGCCTTGACGCTTTCAACATCAGTTGGAAAAACATTTTAAATGAGGCAAAAACTTTTAAAGACACGTGTTGTATAATCGTGACAGTCAATTGGAGGATGGGGAATTGTTACATGCCTACTCGGTCACTGAGCAGTTACTGGCCCCCAGACACAAGGAGTGTGGATCACATAGCTTCTTTGCATGCTCAATTGAGCATTGGGCAGTGCACATCTCCCATCGGCAGCAAATTCCACGTGCCAATTGCCGGGCGTGGTCTCTCCATTGGCCAGCCGCTGTTGACTCGTCGCACCTCGGCACTCGCATCGTCCGGGATGGACGACGGGCCGAGCCGATGCCGTCACCGCGATTTGGACTCTCTCGCTGGTGAGATTCATCCGGCGGCTCCCACCCTAAACTCATCATGTACAGTTTTGAACACCCGGTTCACGATGGTGGAGCTGCCCCAATGCTGGTGACCAATTCCCATAATAATATTTATTTATCTTTAGCCGGAAGTGCCTGCCACAGAAAATAGGTGTAGTTGGGCCAGTCGCCCATTTGCCATACTGTCTGCCATAGCTACCAGGCGTGTCATGATACATCGATTCATCTATTCAATTTGATTGTTTAATTGTCCTCTAAGCCGACTGATACACGCGTCGGCTTGTGATGCGGGGATTCATTGTTGGTGATACTTGATAATTATTGGGAATAATGTGCAATTGTTATATTCAGGCTAATGGAGTGAGCGAAACTCTACACGCCCCTGCCGTCATAAACAGCAAATATAATACCAGTAAAATATAAACTTGACTCAAATTTAGGGTCTCCACAACTTTTTCACTGCAGACCATACTCCACTATATTTCTCAGACAGCTTAGGTCTACCAGAGCTGTACAGTTCACTGGAATAAAGTTCAACAAAAATACCAGCACCAGATCTCTACAATACCAGCACAAATGAATTTCCTGCCACCCAAACACCGATGCCAATTCCCAGACTGCTGGCATCCCTAACCCTTCACCATTTCCTTACGTCGCTGGTGGGAGTGGCAGCTTACATGACTATGAGCACCCAAAAGCACATCCTGTGGGAGTTGCAAAACAAAGAAAAAGATGCCCCGTATAGCCTTAATAGACTTTTGGGGAAAGTGCTGTTAGCGAGCACCTGTCAAGGCCGGCACGGTGCACGAGGGGGTGAGTGGCCAGCACCACGCTCGGCCCCCTTTGTCTCCTGAATGATGATGATGTTTACACACCGCAACAGATACTCATTTGAGGCTGAGTAAACCTAGGGGAAGCCCAGGAACGGCTCAAACAATAGTCACACTAAACAACAGCAGCCGCCATTCTCCACCAAGTGGCGGTGAAAATCACCACGGCGCTTGTGCCAGGCTAGGTGCACTTTGAAGCCACTTCAGACGCACACTCGTGAAATGTGGCCAATCTACTGACTTAACCTGCAAAGCAATGGGTCACACCCAGCCGTTTAAAACAAAATGATGGCACTCTACATTATAAGGGCACACTCATTATACACAAATTGCTTGCCACAAATGAACCACAATACCTTGCTGCTGATCTTGTCAGGGAGCATAAACCATCACGTGAACTCCAGTCATCATCGCAGCAGCGGCTTTTTTTGGCTCGCCATCTAACAAAGACGGTCAACGCATCGCACGACGCTTTCAGATGCGCTTCTGCGGCCGTCTGGAACGCTCTTCCTTCCGATATTAGGAAGCCACTGGGAGCTGCTATACACTTTTAAATCAAGATTGAAAATTAATTTCTCTAGATATGTGTTTCAGTATATTGTCTCCCCCCCCCCCCCCTGCACCTCCGATTAGCACGGTTGGCTATATACGGTGCGAAACAAGTTCAACATACATACACACACACAAATATGGGCCCCCCCCAACCCCATCCATTGCCAATCCCCTCCTCCTCCCACTCCCACCGCTAGAAAGCTTTTAAGTCCCACACCCGTTCCGATTGTTCCAGAGTTCCCGATAATTCCTAAGTTCAGCATACACCAATACCCGCCGTTCGCCACTAAGTGACGTTGACGTCACCACGGCGCCTGTGCCAGGCTAGGTGCACTTTGAGGCCACGTGAAGTATTGAAGGCTCGCTGACAGGAGGAGGTCTCGGCACAGACCCAGCAGGCGCCATGGGTTGGCTGACTGAGATGACTGGTAGATGCACCAGCTGTACCCCCCTACTGTGCCAACCTGCTGCATTCTATATAAAAGATCCCCCATATAGCCTTAACAGACTGTAGGGGCAAGTGCTGTTAGCGAGCACCTATGAAGGCCAGAACGGTACACGAGGGGGTGGGTGGCCAGCACCACGCCTGACCGCCTTTGTCTCCCCAGTACAATGTTTACACACCACACCAGGTACTCATTTGAGGCTGATTCGACCTAGGGGAGGCCCGGGACTGGTTCAGATAATCGTCACTGGTGTTGGCCATGAGTGGGAATCAAACCCGGGTCGCCAGGTTCATAGCGCAGTGTGCTAACTGCTACACTATCGCTCCCCACTGCATTTTATATGCACACATACACACATACATACACTTGCACATACATACACATACATACACATACATACACATACATACACATACACACATACATACATACACATACATACATTTTCAATGTTCACGTGTTACATTGGCTGGCTTCAGTGGCGGCCGGCGTTGGCACCGAGCACAGGGTGGCGACGAGAGGACTCCTCCTTGGGCTGCTCTCGATCCTTTAGTTGAAGTGGCACGGCCGACTAACGAGCCCACGGAATTCGATTGTGTGGGAGAAGCCCCCCCCCCCCTTTTGCCGGTATATCAAGAAGATGATAAAATAGGCTTTACCCTTTCCGGCAAGAAAACATGAGGTGCTAAGATGTTCAAACGCCCAAACGTTGCCATGTTTTGCCACAAGCATGTGAACCTTATGGCGGGACCCCGGGGTCCCGAATAAACGGAAGTCAAAGCGTAATTAATTTATTTATTTTTGGCGACTCCGTCCCACCGCGCACATAAACGCCGTGACCCGCCTGGCGCGGATCCTCCTGTTGTCGTGTCGTTGTCCAAGCGCAGTGGCGAGGACGAATGTGCAGAAGAGCTGAACAAGCTAATGAACCCCGTGCTCGGGTATGGGCAGGATCATAAGTCTTATCCAAAGCTGCTCAAACTGCCAACACGACTGGAGTCCTTTATTTGTCATAACGGTTTGCTTAATAATACAGTGAAACTGCTCTCTTATTTTCGTTATTATTTGTGACCTACCAATGTCTGCAGCCAGGATCAATCGATGACAATCCTATTACCTGCAGATATTTAGCAGATGAGATGCGTTGCACCGTTAATTCTTCCTGTTTGATAATACTTCTCTCGTCCGTATGCATCTGTGCAGATAGGTTTTGTTTTGCGGTTAAGCCATAGTCCCCACATACCGCTCGTATCAATGCGGATAAGAGGAGCGGCGACCCACTACTCTGTAGAGTAACATTGGTATAAACGCTTGTTTAAAATTATTTTTTCGATAGTGTATTTAAATAGAGGTACTGCAAGTAAGTAGTTTTCAGTTTTAAAGGCATAGTTTAACAAGACAACACTTCCCACCATCCTTCAAACCCATTGGTCAAAAAGCGCAAAGTTTTAGTTTACATTATAATCTCATGTTTATGCGAGAGCCCCGGGGGCTTATGGGAGCCGGGGCTCCCGCCATAAGGTTCATGTGTTGGTTAATGGAGACGTGTAACGCCTCGTCATAAGTGTCTATTTGGTGTTGGAACATCTTGCCGGAAATGGGGTGAAGCCTATTCTTTCTTTCATGATAGGTCAACTCGTCGGCGCTGCAGTGGCAGAACGACGCATTATTGGTTTGCGGGTCAGGCCACCGGATGATTGTGACCAACTCTCTTGTCGGCATGAGCCCTCCGCCACCCGAAGCAGCCGAACAAAATTATCGTCCCAGCTCGCCCGTCGGGCCGCAGAAACGACGCTCGCACAAACAGACGCAGACTAATCGCAGTGCCGCTCTCAACCCCCCCTCCCCCCTTGCCCCCTCTGCCGCCCCCACCTCCCGCACCCCTCCACCTCCCCCCCCCCCCCTACACCCTCCGCCGCCGCCCGCCGTGACCGCGACAGCGAGCTGGAGGAGGCCGTGGAAACGCTCCGCTCGAGGGCGTCCCTGCCGGGAGTCGTCTCGCTGGCGGACGTGGACGAGGGGGGCGAGCTCCTGCGCCAGCTGGAGGAGGAGACGTCCGCGCTGCAGGGTGAGACGCCGGCTCGGTTTGGCCACGTTCGGCGCGGAAGGAGTTGAGGATATGCGTGCACTTCTAGATTTAAAGCTTTCGTGACTGCTAGGATCCATGCTCTTTGGTTCTATTGGGTAAAGTCACGTAGGTGAAAATAAAATAACAAAAAATCACGACGTTTCGACCACAACACAAGCGGCCTTCATCAGGTGAAGAGACGAGCCTGTCTGGAGGACAGCGCTGGAGTGGAAGAAGCCACGCTTAGATCACGATCACAAGCTTAAATGTCGTGATCTAAGCGTGGCTTCTTCCACTCCAGCGCTGTCCTCCAGACTGTCTCGTCCCTTCACCTGATGAAGGCCGCTTGTGTTGTGGCCGAAACGTCGTGATTTTTTGTTATTTTATTTTCACCTACGTGACTTTACCCAATAGAACCAAAGGATATGCGTGCACGCCAACCGTGGAGGCGGTGAGGGGGTTGGTGGACCGTCGCCACTCACGGAGGAAGTGCCCCCTCCTGTACCCTCGCTCGCCATCGGAAGGCAGTACAGCCAATGCGAACTCCCAGCTGTCCCGTCCGTGTGGGATGGAGTGTTGCCACCTCGCAAAGTTTTCTCTCTTCGAGCCGATTTCCCCCCATGTGTATGAACACTCGTTGGCCGAAAATATATCGATATGTAAAGGACCGCAGAGCTTGGGCGATTGTTGGCACTCGGCTCGCCGCCTTTGGCAGTCGTCAGCGGCTCCTCGCGCCTCCGCGTCGATGTTCTGGCTCCTCCGAGAGCGAGCGGATACTGGGCGGCTCGTTACAAGTTGGAATTAGCGTGATTATAACGAATAACGGGGAAAGATAATTATTATAACTGTAAATTACTAGCCGGGGAAAACGCATTTGGACAGTTTGTCAAGGGGGAGCAACATGGAATGGCGTGACCTGGAAACAGGTTGATAACCCACGTACATTTATTTTATAATTTCATTTTATATAGCGTCATTTGTGCAATTGCATTTCACAACGCTGCACATCAATTAGCCGGTCGCTTACACAAACGATACAAAAACAAAACCCTCACTTAGCAAATCAAAAACTAAAAGTTGAATACGTAAAAAAAAAATCCTGATGACGACCGCTTGTGTTGCGATCAAAACGTCGTAGTTTATTGTTATTTTGTTGTTTTCTTTCAACCTATCTACGTGACTTTACCGAAAGTGATCATCACAGGGACAATACATTAAAATAAATAAACCCGTTCGGTCTCCATGAACCCCAGACCACAATCCCAACATTTAGACGTATATAGGGGAACCTTCCCAAGAGGAGTGATGGTGTGGCCAAAACGTTATGAGGCGGTTGGACCACAACATAAACGCCTATTTTTCAAGCGTATGCCTGGATATATCTTCAGAGATAAACGATGTTCCCTTCAGTGGACCACTGTGCAGTCCACTTTTGATGGGGGGGTTATTTTTTTATCTCTCCACAGATGGCCACCCACAGTGACTTTAATAATTCAACTTTTGAAAATCGAATTATATTCAACAATGAGACTGTGAGGGTTGGTCGGAGCTTTTTTTCCAGAATGCTCTTCAGTTGCATCTGATGTGGTAACCGTTCTGGCGTTCATTTTCCGTCAGCTCACGGTGTACCCATTCTCTATGTACACCATTCCTCATGACCCCTCCCTCCATCCAACCGAACCACACCCTCACCCCCAACTTTGTCCTCCTACACTCCCGTTTCCCGTCTTCTGTCTCCGCAACTCCCCCATCTCTCCCGTTCACCCCGTCTGTCCCATTGTCCCCGTCTCTCCTGTGCCCCCATATCTCCTGGCTCTCCCATTCCCCCTGTCTCTCCCGTTCCTCTCGTCTCTCCCATCTTTACCGTCTCTCCTGTTCCCCCCCCCCCCCATCTCTCCCATTCCCCCCTTCTCTCTCATCTCTCCCGTTCCCCACGTCACTCCCGTCTCTCTCCCGTTCACCCCATCTCTTTCGTTCTCGCCGGCACCGCAGGGCAGTTCCCGATGATGCAGTCGCGCATGCAAGGGCTCCTGCGCGTCGAGGTGGAGGCCATGAAGTTCCTCAAGGACGAGCCGCACAAGCTGGACGAGCTGCACAGGGGCTGCCGCAACCTCGCGTCCACCCTTGTTCTCCTGCGCAGGTGAAGCCCCACCGCCCCTCCCCCACCGCCCCACCCCAAGTGTCATATAGAGAGACTGGTTCCCGTCGTAGGCACATGGAATTTCCACACAGCCGCCTCCCAAACGTGCAAATCTCGTTTTTGCGCGTGACATCATATCGGTGTGTTTGTATTTCCTCATTTAGCTTGAGCTGCCAAAAAATCTACCAAGGTCGGGCGCGTGGCCGGGTGGGTTGGCCGTGGCATCACGGGTGTTACAGGCTACGGGGCTGCGTTGTTGTGGGAAGTGCAGCACAATCCATTGTTAGCACAGCGCAGTAGGGTGGCCACTCGATTTGTATACAGAGAAGGGAAGTTTCAGTTTGTTAGGATCACACCAATCTTCTCAAGTTTGTTAGTCTTGTTAGTCTCGGTGTAGAACTCAACTGCTTCTCATCCCCTTCGTATTTACTGGTTGCTCAGCGTCCCCTGCTCCTCTTCTCTGCATCTGTGCCGACACTACGCTTGATAAATCAGAGTTGTATGGTGCATTGACATATTATTTATTCTGATTCGATGGCTGTGCTGCACCGACTAAATGTTGTGCGATCGTCTTTTAAAACTGGCAGTGGCTTGAGATTGACAGCAAAATAAATACAACCAGAAGGGTGTTACCTTGACAATCACAAACTTTACATTTCAAATTAAAGTGGGTTTTTTTTTAGTTAGATCGCGTACATATTAATGTGTCGTTAAACCCACCACTACCAACCGACACAGCCAAATTAGCAATGTTTGTCACGTTAACAAAACGTGTCAATTAGTTACTACTTCAGCACACTGGTTGGTTGTGTGTTGGAGAGTGAAACCCCACAGCATTTTAAAATTCGACTCCTGTGACGTTTTCGCTGGTTATTACAACCAGCTTCCTCGGGCGATTTGCCAGAATTGTGAAGGAAGCCTTCCTGCTTCCGTGGCACCCTTACTGCGCGGTGCACATCTACGCTCTCGAATCAATGCCCCTCACCTTCGCCAACTACCCCCCCCCCCCCCCCCAGCCAACGTGGTGAAGTACGGTCAAAATAGCCTCCACGACGCTCGTGACGTGGGGACGCCCTCGCCCAGTCGTCGATTAAAGAAGCGCTGTACATAGCCCGACTAATTGCACCATCTCTCCTGCTGTTTCATGTCACCCCCCCATCTGTAAACAATTGCAGGTCCGTCGTCGAAGGAACCCCGGTAAACGAGCCAGAGAAGCCACCGCCTGCTGAGCCTGAACCGGACCTCGATCAGGTTGTCCAGTGCGACGCGTACGTGCCACACTTTGCCAGCAGCCACCGGGGCATGCTGTCGCAGCAAGAGCAGGAGCTGGAGCAGCAGAAGCAGCAGGAACAGCAGCAGGAACAGCAGAAGCAACTGCAGATTCAGCAGCAGCAGAAGCAGCTTCAACAGCAGCAGGAACAGCAGAAGCAACTGCAGATTCAGCAGCAGCAGAAGCAGCTGCAACAGCAGCAGGAACAGCAGAATCAGCTTCTGCAGCAGCAGAGGCTGTTTCATCAGCAGCAGGAACAGCAGAAGCAGCTTCAGCAGCAGCAGCAGCAGCAACAGCTGCTTCAACAACAGCAAGAGGAACAGCAGAAGCAGCAGCTTCAGCAACAGCAAGAGGAACAGCAGAAGCAGCTGCAGCAGAAGCAGAAGCAGCAGCAGGAACAGCAGAAGCAGCTGCAGCTTCAGCAGCAGCCGCAAGCAGTGACATCAACAATGGAAGTTACGACGCTTTCGGATGTCGTTGTCCAGAACAGAACTGTGCACGTCACGAGAACGGAGGTGAACGGGTCAGAGGAGGTCAGGAAGTCAGAGGTCAGGAGGTCGGAGGTCACTCCGAGCGGGGCCTCCGGGGCGGAGGAGGGCGTGGGGAGCGACCCCGAACGCGCTGACAGGGCGGAGGTGGAAACGATCACGGTGTTCCTCGCGCAAGTGTCCGACGTTCCGGAGCGCGGGCTTGAAGCGGAGGAGGAGCCCCCGGCAACCGTGCGGGCGGCCCCCGCGGGCGCGAGCGAGCGCGACGACACTGGAGCGGCGGAAGGCACCAGCGCCGCCGCTGGCGGCGAGGGGAAGCCGGCGGCGGATGCGAAAAAGACGCCGGAGAAGAAGGACACCGGAAATCGGCGCGTGAGCTTCGCCAAAGATCTCGACGAGCCGTCGCACGAAACCAGCAGCAAGGCAACCGGACTCACCGGTGAGAAAACCGCCCCCGCACCGATCGATAGCCGCTGAGTCGTGTGTGTGTAGGTGTGTGTGTGTGTGTATGTAGATGTGTGTGTGTATGTAGATGTGTGTGTGTGTATGTAGATGGGTGTGTGTATGTAGGTGTGTGTATGTAGGTGTGTGTGTGTAGGTGTGTGTGTGTGTATGTAGGTGTGTGTGTGTGTATGTAGGTGTGTGTGTGTGTATGTAGGTGTGTGTGTATGTAGGTGTGTGTGTGTATGTAGGTGTGTGTGTGTGTATGTAGGTGTGTGTGTATGTAGGTGTGTGTGTGTGTATGTAGGTGTGTGTGTGTGTATGTAGGTGTGTGTGTGTGTATGTAGGTGTGTGTGTGTATGTAAGTTTGTGTGTGTGTGTGTGACCGGCTCCAGTTTAACAGCAGAGGTCTCACTCCGAATCAGTCGAGCGGCAATATCTTTTCATCGGTTGTGTAACGCTGTGTGGAAGCTACCTGGTCTGTCGCTCCGCACTAAGCTTCAGGTCATTCCCTCCCTTCTCTACGCTTGCGAAACGTGGACTCCCCTAATGGAACATCTTCGCCAGTTAGAAACATTTAGGCTGGCCTGCCTACGATCCATCCTGGGTTTAACCAGACTGGATTGTGTGAGGAGCTCACAAATCCTTGAAAGATCTGGGCAAGGTCCCATCGGTGAGCTCCTCTGGCGGGCAAGGCTGCGATGGCTGGGTCATGTAGCCCGCATGCCCAGCCACCGCATGCCGAAACAGCTTTTGTTCGGCCGAATTGAGGGGGCTAAATGGGTGCGGCACGGGCTAGAGAAAAGATGGAGTGATGTGGTACAGGAGGACGTGGAGCTGAGTGGACTTGCCGATGACTGGTACCAGCGGTGTCAAGATCGGCCTCTGTGGAGGAGGCTCGTGAAGGATGCTACTGGGCAGTTGGAGGTAGTCGCCCTCCAACAACAACGGAGGGCGGAGAAGCGACGCTCACAACAACGAGCGGAGCGCCGGGTGGCTAGGGCACAGCAGGTTGGCACAGTAGGGGGGGGCACAGGTGGTGCATCAGCCAGTCATCTCAGTCATCTCAGTCAGTCGACCCGTGGCACCTGGGTCTGCCCCGTGACCTCCTGCCAGTGGGCGTTCGACACTTCACGTGGCCTCAAGGTGCACATGGCCTGGCACAAGCGTCGTGGTGACGTCACCGCCACTTAGTGGCGAATGGCGGTTGTTGTATGTGTATGTAGGTGTGTGTGTGTATGTAGGTGTATGTAGGTGTGTGTGTGTATGTAGGTGTGTGTGTGTATGTAGGTGTGTGTGTATATGCGTGGAACATCTTCGCCGGTTAGAAACATTTAGGCTGGCCTCTGCCTATCCTGGGTTTAACCAGGCTGGATTGTGTGAGAAGCTCACAAATCTTTGAAAGATCTGGGCAAGGTCCCATCGGTGAGCTCCTCAGGCGGGCAAGGCTGCGTTGGCTGGGTCATGTAGCCCGCATGCCCAGCCACCGCATGCCGAAACAGCTTTTGTTCGGCCGGATCGAGGGAGCTAAACGGGCGCGGCATGGGCTAGAGAAGAGATGGACTGCGCTACGAACCCGGCGACCCACCATTAACCACCGTTGTTGTTCGACGGCGAGCTGAAAGCTGCTGCTGCGAGGACGAACGGAGTTGGCGTGATGGTTTGTGCTCCTTGATGAGATCAGCAAGGAGTCACCAAGTTTGTGATGTTAACGACGACGACGACGCTGATGATGATGATGATGATGTTAAATAACAATAGTCTGTTTATTTGGGACCACAAGTGAACAGATTAAAAGGGCGCTGGTGGCTACGCTGCACGTGCCCTGTAGCCCAGTGCTGCGGAAGCAGCGATCAGAGCCGGTGGTTGTCTGACCATACTTCACCACGCTGGTCAGTGGGTGTCGGCAGAGGGACGTGCGGATTGGTCGCCGGGTTTGCGGTGCAGCGCACCAACCTGCAGAGCCACCACTCCACGCTCCCGGATAACAGGGCAGCGGATATCAGGGCAGCGCATAACAGGGTAATGTCGTTAGCGCGGCCGTCTGCGTCCTAGGAATTGACGCCCACATTGTGCTGTTTCTCTGCCCCGCTTTTCCCTCTGTGCTCCAACCTCCGCTCCCCATGCTCCGTGCTCTGTTCTCCACGCTCCGTTCTCCGTGCTCCGTGCTCATCGCTTCCGAGCAGCGACGGGGAGGGCGTCCCGCTCGTCCGCCCTCCGCGGGGCGGTGCCGGCGGAGGCCACGGAGCAGGCGGAGGACGCGGATATCCCCCCGCCCCCCACCATGAGCCCCCCGCCCCCACCGCCACGCAGCGGCAAAGGCTTCAAGTTCGTGAGGACCACGCCAGCCGAGGTCCTCTTCCTGAACCGCAAGGTGAGGGGGAGACGAGCCGTTCGTCCGTGGCGGTCGCCCATCCGAGCGCTGTGTAGGCCGAGGCCTGCTCAGCCGCCCCCGAGATGTGACGAGGTCGGTCGGCGCGTTCCCGGCGTGCGTGTAAGCACTTGTAGAGGTGTTTATTTCACTCGGCTCGTCTGATCGTGACTTTTCCGACCATCCCCCGTCATTAGCAGACGGCTTCGTCGGGCAACAACTTTGGTCAAACCGAGGAATCCCACGGTTTGGTTTATATATATGTTTTTCGTAAGTAAGAGCACTTTGAAGGCCCAAGCGAAGGTCAAAGAGAGAACGGCGTTTTGATCGTGTGTTTGTTTTTTGTTGTTATTTCTCGTGTGACAACAATGAAGGCCAACAAGTTGGCAGTGGACACGCGAGCCAACCAATCGGAAGAGGACAGCCAGACCCCGCCGCCTCCTGGCTCCAGCTCGAAACTAGAGGACGACGGTCAAACAGGTCACATGACCATCGAAGTGCAGGTACTGAAATGCATCTCAGATTAGCACGGTTGGCTACGTACGATCCGAAAGAAGTTCAACATTTCCATACGTACACACATGCATTAAGCGGAGGGTGGATTCGCAGAGCTGCTGAGAGGTGAAAGCTGAGTCTGCTGTGATTCTTCAGACCGTTTCAAATTCTCCACTCTACTGTGCTGCTGTGGTGCAACGGGTCTCCACGCATTGGACAATCCAGAGGTCACTGGTTCGATTCCATCTCCCGGCGCAGTGGTTGAAGCAAATGAGAGCGTTTATTAATTTCCCCCCCCCCCCCGCCTTGATCCTCCCAGCGGTATAAGAAACGCCACAGTTTGTCCAGTGTCTGTTTGCGGGCACTCCCACTGCTTCCGAGACGTATGCCTAGCGTGGAAGAGTAGGCCAAGTGCCTTCTGGGGAGCGGTCGTCTTTAGCTCCCTCGAGTGGAAGGCCCTTCTGTCAGGAGTGGCATTAGTAAGCAATTGCAAGGCAGCACCTTTACTGTAGTGATAATGAATGTCCCGTGGGAGAAATTACACCCAAGTTGGCACGCCATTTTGTGTAGATCAGACACTTGCGTAAGGAATGCTAACGTGTTGCGGGTGCACTGGTAATGCTCACTTGCAACCTACAGCTGCGTTCAGCCGGGGTAGGCAGATCATTGCAGCGATGCAGCTGTGTTGTATCCAACGCGTTTTCCTGCAGGGCAAACGCGCTGCTCGCCGGAGGCAGTACAGCAAATGGAATCCTCAGAGGGCCTATCTGTGCCAAATTCTAAAACTATTCTTATCGGGCGTGTTTTCTCGGGGTCATCTGCTTTCCTCCCACAGGCAAAAATTATTTTCAGAGCAGAATTAGCCAAACTTCCCTCGTAGAGCCCTCCTCAAAACATGAGCCCGTCCAGGGTAAATATTTTTCGATATTAATCGCAGGGTTGTGCTAATTCCAGATTTCACGGGCGGTTTTCTAAGCCACGTGTTATTTATGGAGGCGTGTTTCTCGTCCGCTCACGCGCATCAGTTGAGACGCTCGTCGTCGCCGTCCGTGAAACCGGCAACGAGCGAGCAGCGGTCATTTCTCCGTAAGACACCCGGCCGGTCAGTCAGCCAGTCAGCCAGCCCGGTTCCAAAACCTGTTGCCGTAGCTACGCGAGTGTGCAGCCAGTGCAGCCGCAGAGAGGGGCCCATGGGGGTGGAGGGGCCCAGAAGTGCATGCTGCGGACATGGGGGTGGGGATGGAGGGGGGCCCATTTCGTTCCTTGCACCAGGGGGGCCCATGCCAAACCACATGCTCCACCACTGTAGATGCATTAACGGATGGGTGAGTGAGCGAATGCATTCCTTTGTTGAGTGTCAGGTGAGAATCAAGTGGAGTGTATGGGTGGCAGGGTAGGGACAGTGGTCTAACACTCGTGCCTCACAGCAAGAGGGGCCTGGGTTCGATTCCTTACTCTGGTTGCCTCGCTGTGTGGAGTCTATAAGTTTCTCACCATGTTCTGCAAGGGTCTTCTATGGTTTCCTTCCATAGATAAAAACAACAACAACCCATACATTATATCTATGGGACCTTTTTTCCAGGACCAAAATAATGGAAAAAAAGAATAGGTTTTATATATTATCAGAGCATGTTTGTTGTTTACCTGTTCACCACAAGTACCGTGTGCGGTTAATGCAGACACGATTCCTTGCAAAAGGTTTAAGTTTTTCTGTTCGAACCCATCCATTATAACTTGGCATTGGCCCAACATCCCAATGCAAAAAAAGCACCTGCAAATTACTCGTTCAGAATATGTGCAGTAGCAGCAGCAATAGCAGAAAGGAGCAGCAAGTAGCAGCAAGAGGCAGCAGCAACGTCGTTCCACGCTGCTGGGAAGGTGGAGCGCAGGGCCCTCTTGAAAGCGCGAGTCTTGAGACTCGGGTGAGCCTCTCCTGGGTTTTTGGCTGCTGTGAATTCCCACGTGATGATGATGATAAGCCGCTTCGTTGAGCGATGTAATTTGTGATCGCCAGGCCACTTCTGAAAAGAGAGCTAGAGAGCTCAGTGGTCCTTACGTGGTAAAATAAAATAAAAACTAGTTTAGTAACAACAACAATAATAACCACTCCCGATCGTTGCCCCCCCCCCCCCCCCCCCCCATGTGAGGAGGGCGGTGACCCCAGGGCAACGTTTCCTGGTCCCTACCCGGAGGGGCACCTGACCCCCGGTTTGTCGCTTGCAAGGTTGCTTGTAACCCTTCCTCCCCCCTTTGTTCCGCATTCTGTATTGAGCTCTTATTTAATAACAACAATAATAATAAAATGTATACGAAAATTCCATGGCAAAGGATACCAAAGTACCCCGGAGCCCGGCACGGACAACGCGCTCCCCTCCCCCCGTCGGAGCCCTCAATGGGTCACGCACTGCGGGTGCGTCGTCACATCGCGTGTCTACCCAGAGACCGGATTATTATCTCTCGGAGGCTCCGAGAGAGAGAGAGAGGCGACGCTGTACATTAATGCACCGTTATACCCCGATCTTTAGCTCGGCCCTTGGATGCCCGGTTAATGCAGCCTTCGATAATTATTACACGCCAGTGGCAGGGGGGGGTGCTTGATCTCCCACCGGCATTTCCAGAAATAGCCGTGCGATGCAAGCGCGTGGTGGGAGCCGATGGACTATTTGTCTAAGCCAAGGCTGGGAAATGGAATAATAATTAAAAAGGCACTAATTTGTCTCTTTCTCTTAAGCCATGGGGATGTGAGGCCACAAAATCACGATCAGTTAGTGGCCTTGTAACTGAATGATTAGAGACATCTGTCGGAGGGTCACAACTGGGAAAACACAGCAGAGTATGTGAGCCCATTGCAGCCGTTAAAAGCAGACCGGATTCTAAACGACGGAATACAGAGGCTGATGAGAGCACGTTGGAGCGGTTTGGAATGGCTGAACGTAAAAAGTAACGTAGCAATCTGTAATTTTGTCAGTTTTGTTGTGTGGTGCGATGGTTGGGAAGGCCGTCATCCAGCAGTGGATTGACCAGAGCTGGCTTGTAACTCAATTTCAACGCCACATTTGTATGACCTTGATAAAAAAAAAATGCAATTCATTTTTCGATTGCGCTAATTGGAGGCATACACGTTTTCGCCAGCCCAAGGCTTGCAGATTTTAACAATCGCATTGTGACAAAACTTAAAGCAAGAGTGTTTCCCCATTCGGGCGAGCGTGGAGGATGAGTGCTCTCATTCATCTCCGACGTCTGTTGAGTCAATCCAAGGAAATTTTGCTCCGAGCAAAAACAGCTCCCAGTTTGACAGGTTGGGGCGAACACCCCCCACTGGCGCCTCCTGCCCTTGCCGAAGGTTTTCTAAACGTGCAGGAGAATTATTTTCTTTGATGTCATGAGAATCTTTCCGCCTTTGATGTCACGTTGGAATGCTCACGGCCTGGGTGTGGCGCGCAAATCTCGTCCAAAATAGTAATTTAGAGAATAGGGAGGGGGGGGGGGGAGTTGTTTTGTCTCAACTGACAGCTGAGTTGAGGCTTGAGAGACCCTCAATTGCACCACTTTCCAGGACCCTGTTTTTATTGGGCCTACGCATCGTCTGGAACGTGAGGAAGGCAACGGAACCAAAATATTAAAAATAGGTGTGATTGCAATCGCACCGAGAGACAGCGAGAGAGAGGACCATGTGCATCAGATAACAGATGCAAAATCGGAGGCCTCATATTGAGGCTTAAGGAGAGGTGAAGTGTTCCTGGGCAGGCCGCGACGTCGCTTAAGAAGGGACGATGAGATTGGTGATGGAGAATGCACCCGAGAGGACAACCACTGTGGAAATGGAGAAGTGAAATTAACCCGTGAAGGGAAGGGATGGATCGTGGGATGGCGAGACCACGAGGGATGGATGGGTGACGACTCGAAGAGGCTCACAACGACGAAGTGGCAATGAGATGGATTGTGGAATCGCAAGGCCGTGATGGATGAGTTCAGCGTGAGGAGGCCTTCATCCAGCAGTGGATTGACAGCGTTGAGGACAACTTCCCTGAAGCATGGTGACACAGTTCTGTGAAAATTCACCAATAGCAGCTGCCAATTTTAAGAAATTCCTGTTTTACCCGCTGCTTGCGGCATCGTTTCTATCGGGAACGTCTTAACGCGGCGTGGTTTTATTACCCAGGGATGTTCGGGGTGTTGTTCTCTGACTGCTGCGGTGTGGCAGCATTGTTTATTAATACAACATGCGTCACGTATAGCTACGCGGTACCCTTACGCCGGTATCGAGATGATAACCAAATGTAAAAATGGCTTTTTATCCCTTTTGGCATGAATACAGTACAGGTGTTCAGACGTTCAACCGCCAAATAGATGCCTATTTACGAGGCATCAGGTCTGCATTAAGCCAGTGTGTCGTGTTGTTGCGTAAGAGATAGGGCCCCGCTGAGAAAGGCCCCTTGGTAGCCCACTGAGAGCCACTTGTGGGGCGTTCGATGCTGCCTCGAGGATCTGTCATGAAATCGACCTCACTCTCAGAATCAATATTTCGGATTCGATGATGCGAGTAAGCCGGGTAAGTGGAGTCGTATTTCCGTCGATGAATATCCAGTGGTACTGAAACGAGAGGCACACAATCGTCAGAATCCGAATATTTATTAATTTATACTGGAGGAATCCGATGAGCCATGAAGCTCCTTTTTCACAGATGTGTTCAGTAAGGTGGCAGGTGAGAACGTTACAACAACAAACAATACAAAAACACGGCAGGAGTCCAAAGTGTAGGCAAAGTAAACAAATCACTTTAAAAATATATATATACAAATAAAGTTAACTATTTTGTTTATCTTAACCAGGTAAAGCCCACTGAGGTATTAACTTATTTTTCAGAAGCGACCTGTTTAACTGTGGGCGGGCGACACCTGGATTCAAACCCAGGACATCCGCCGTGCTGTCTTAGTGCTCCGACCCCTGACCCCTGACCCACGTGGCCGTCGTCACCACCTCTCTGGAGATTCTAACAAAACCTCTGCGCTTGGTACGCGCGACGAGAACTAAACGATTTTTTTTATTTTACCGGTTAAGGCCCTGCTGAGCTATAGTCTAGCTCCTTTTTCAGATCGCGACCTGGCCATCACAAATGGTAAATCAACGAAGTGGCGATTGGTGAGAAACGCGACGGTGGATTTACCCTTGAACGTCCTGATTGCTCTGTCTCTCATCTCAAGCTGTCACCTCTGTATGTCTGTCTGCCTGTCTCTCTTTCTGCCTGTCTCTCTGTCTTTACCCTCCTCAGTTCTTTACCCTCAGCATCGAGGAGCAGGCGAGTGTCCGTTCCATGCCCTGCTGTGCCCCTGTTGGCGGCTCTGCACATTAATGCACCTCATCGCAGCCCTGACCTCGCTAACCTCCTCCCTAACGATCGTCGACACTAACTCGGATTTTTTTTCAAACGCAAGATTCATTTTTGGAGCCAAGTGTGCATTGATGTCAAAGATTTGTTTCCAATTGTATTTGAATTACAATTCGTGACCGTCAGATAAAGTCTATATCATTCGCACATTTCCAAACGCGCATTATATTATTTTCTGTTAACCTTCCACAATTATTATTTTTTTTAATGTTTTTTTTTAGCTTCTCACGAGTTGGGCACATTGCAGAGTTTCTATTTCACTATGTTTATAAATGTGAATAATATACACGCACCTTTAGGGTTTATATGGCTCGGGGTTAATCTCTAATTCATTGGACTTGAAGATTTGGAGGTTGTCATTGGTGACGAAATGAATTTGATTTGGTTTGATTTTGAAAATGTTTATATTTATTTAAATGAGGTCAGATGTGTTGACAACACAACACCAGTCCATCTTAAGATAATCAACACATCTCTTTTATGCCAGAGACCTGAGGTTACCAACAAGAAAACCAATCGAATTCTATGAAGCTTGCACATAATTTCCACAACCACAATCTTCCACCACATTGTGTATACATTTTTAATTTTGCTCCAAAAATGAATTCGTTTTTTTTCTCACATTTGCAGTCCTTGCTTGCGTTTTTTTTTGTGCTTCCGAGTTGTGTTCCTCGTTGTCCCCCCGTCTCGCTGTGGTTTCGACATGAGCCCTCGCCCCGCCGTGCTGGACTGCAGCGACAGTGACTCCAGGGGCTGCCGTGTGCCGAGAGGGGACCGAGAAGGGACCGAGAGAGAACCTGGAAGGGATCGAGAGGGGACCCAGAGGGCACCCAGAGGGGATCAAGAGCGGGGGACCTCAAGTATCACATTAAAGCAGCGGTTCTCAACCCCTGGACCCCAGGGGCTTGCGTGCGCATTTAGAGGAGGGCAGAGGTGGAGGGGGCTTGCGCTACGACATGGATAGAATGCAGGGGGCATTGTGAATGGCTGCAGAGGACATCGGCGTCTCAGTGTAGCGACAAAACACACTATTACGCAACATCAAACACGTGTGGTGGGGGGGGGGGGGGCGGTGTGTGGTGGTGGGTGTGAGTTGTCGTGTGGGTGGGGGGCACAGGCACCCACTGGGGGGGGGGGGGGGGGGCGCCATACCAACAGCTTGAGAAGCACGCTGCATTGAGCTGCGTGGCCGGTGTGCGCGTTCACCGCTCGCCTTGGTCCATCTGCCTGCAAGCCTCAGCGTTTGTTGATCAAGGGGGGGGCTCTGAGCTCATCGCCTCGATCTGTGTTCACCGCAACTCTGTCTAGGAGCATTGGAAAGATTGCAGGCAAATTCGACACTCGACCGGCCCGCAGATCTAGCCGCGTTGGCACTGCTGCTGCTGCTGCTGTTATTGTAAGCGGTGCACGCTTACGATCCAGCATTTTGGAAGGGCTTCACATTTTCGAAACCGTTTGGCGCGCGTGAAGCGCAGTTTGTGGAGGTTACGGTAAGGGAGACCGTTGAGAGGGTTTCTGACGAATGCCGGTGTTATCCCCCTCCTGGGTTATTGCACCACCACACGGCGCGATGCCCCCAGCTGTCGTGCCATGGACGCCGACTGCGAAAACGCGCTTCGCTCTCTCTGGCATCGCCAGCCACACCTCCGATTAGCACGGTTGGCTACGTACAGCGCGAAAGAAGCTCGACATGCGTACGTGGGGATGTAGCTGACGGCAACTCAACAGTTTACTTCCGTAATAGAGGTTTTTTTGGGTTAAATATATAAATGTGTCGTTAAACCCGTCACCACCCGGCACAGCCAATTAGTAAGGTTTGTCACGTAAACAGAACGTGCGAATTCGTTGCGAGTACCGCACACCGGTGTGTTGGAGAGCAAAGTCATTTCGACATTTACAATCTAAGTGCGATGTTTCGCGACAGCCAGATTTGTGGAGAAATCCTCCTGTTTCGTTCCTTAAATAGAGGGGTAGATGCGTTGACATCACTTGTGAGCTCTACATGGTGATCAACTTACATAATGCATGTGCATTGGTCGCGAAAGCCTGCGTATTAAACGGTTTACTTCTGCCGTAGGTTTTCGCGGGTGCGCTCTCCGGCTCCTCCCCCCCCCCCCCCCCCCCCCCGAGAGGTCGCGACCCCCCTCGCACGGTGCGTGCTGTGAGCTTCCTCGGGAACTAAAATTACGGCCGGTTTCCTTGACGAAGGTGGCAGCACGCGGAGCGAAACGTCGGCCGTCGCGGTACAAAGTATGTACAGTAAGAATAGGTTTTACCCTTTCTGGCAATGAAACGGGCGTTAAGATGTTCAAACACCAAATATAAACCTTTTGCAAGGACTCAAGTCTGCAAAATGTTTTTCTGTTTGGTGTTTGAACATCTTAACACCTGCTTTATTGCCAGATAGAGTAAAACCTATTCTTACTCTTAATACTTTGATATTGGCAAAAAGGTCCCATGATATCGCGGCACAAGCCCGAAAGCACATCGGAGAGAAATCCAAAAAGTAGTGGCAACTGCACGTTCGAATGGGGGGGTCTTCCACACGTGCAGGTCTTTCAAATAGTTGTTGTAAATTCACATAATTCGATTTCGGACGTTATATCACGAAACAATCTCACCAAAGCCTGGGGCGTGTTTTCTCACACAGGGCGGAGATTCGAGCGTCAAAGACGCTCAACCGGCGGTGGCCTTCGAAGAGGAGATCACCGACTTCTCTTCGGGCCACGGTGCGGGAGGCCGGAAGGCCCCGAGCTGCGGCAGGACTCCCGAGCGGGCCGGCGGTGTCGGCGGGGACACGCGGCGCAGCCAGGTGGTGTTCCAGGAGAAGGACGTCGTGGACCGTCGAGCCCAGGCACCCAAGACCATCACGATCCGCTACATCGAGGAGATCACGTCGGAGTCGACGGACGAGGATGGCGAGCCGTCGCCGGGCGCCGTCAAGGAGAAGCTGGCGTTCCTCATCCGCGAGAGCCACGTGCAGGCCGTGACGCACGACGAGGCGGCGGCGATTGCCGGCGGCGACGGCGTCACCACCTTCACCTTCACCTGCAAGCCGCCGGAGGACGATGGAGACAACGACGGAGGAGGGGACGGGAGCCCTGGAGCCGGGGGCGGCGGCGACGGCGGCGACGGCGGCGGAGGAGGAAGAGGAGAAGGAGGAGGCGGAGGTCATCAGGACGCGCGGGTGGAATCGGGGGGAGACGCGGGGAGCGGCGAGGCGGCCCCGGTGCCCGAGGTGGCGCTGCGCGACAAGAAGCCGCTCATCGTCATCTTCGACGAGCCCATGGACATCCGCTCGGCCTACAAGCGGCTGTCGACCATCTTCGAGGAGAAAGACCTTGAGGAGTACCAGGAGGATGAGACGGAGGACGACGACGACGACGACGACGACAATGACTCGAGCAGCTTCGAGTACAACGAGCGGGAGGCAGCCCGCGCGGCCGCGGAGGAGCCGGCGCCGGCGTCGCCGCGCGTGACCGCGCCCGCGATGCCGGAGGAGCGGGACGAGGAAACGGAGGCCTCGCGAGAAGCCCATCCCGGAGAGCACGGAGCGAGCCACGACGGCGCCGCCGCCGCCGCCGCCCGGCCATCGGCGAGCCTCGCCGAGCACCAGCCGCCCGCCAAGGACGGCGCGGGCGCGAGGTCCAAGTTCAAGATCAAGTTCCCGCGCAAGCAGCTGGCGGCGCTCACGTCGGCGCTGCGCTCGGGCACGCGCTCGGGCAAGAAGACCCTCGAGCTGGTGATGGACGGCGACGAGACGTCGGACGGGGACGGGGACGGCACGCTGGCGAGCATGAACCCCTACGCGCAGGTCGACGGCAGCGGCCCGTCCCGACGGGCGCACGCGGATGCCGAGGGGGCCGACGGGCGGCCGAGGCCCGAGAACGGGGCCGCCGGCGGGCGCGGGGACGGCCCGGACGGCGGCCCGGACGACGATGGGGCCCGCTGGGCGGAGGGCGCGACGGACTCGGAGCATCCGGTAACTTGGTCCGGGCGGAACGGAGCGGGCGAGTCGCCCGCCGGCGCCGCGGGGTTCCCCGCCGCTGGGATGGTGGCCACCGCTTCCCCCGAGGCCGCTCGTGCCAAGCCGCTCCCTAAGCCCAAACCTCCTCTGCTGCCAAAGCCCAGCTTCGCTCCCGAGCAGCCGCTGCAGGTCTCTGACTTGGAAGTTTCTCTCTCTCTGTCTCTCTGTGACGGCGTCTGTCCGTCTCTCGTCGCCACCTCTACTCTGCCGCCGGGAGGGGTTCGCTTCGCGCTTTTCACGCCGGTGTTTGGTGCTCGCTTTGGCTCAAAGTTGCTCGTTCGGTTGTCGAGGTTCGTCTCTTAGTATTGCCTGCGAGGATAATTTGGGGACGTGGCTTCTCCCAAATGTGCGCCTTGAAGGGGTCGAATTTGTTACATTCTTACAGCACGGCCACTGCGAGTCCCTCTCAGCCATCCGGACTCCCCACGAGGTACTCTTTGAACACTTTCCAATGAAAGGTTGACGGCGTTGATGCGTCAGCTTTGTCTGTCTGCAGCGGAGGATGGCCAATTATTGCTCCTGTTAAGATGGTCCGATATTAACAAAAAAAATCGTGTGAAGTTGTGTTGCTTTTAAGAGATTTAACCAGACACAATGGATCAAAGTGTTGCCCAAAACTTGGCGACAAGCAACCAGCACTCAAAAAGGATTTTCCTTGTTTGCACCAGGGACGTGCGGTCATACTCCAATGAAAATAGCTGTTACTAATAAAAAAAATATCTTTAAAAAATGTCATTTATTTACGATTCCAATCATTTTTATAGTCAAAATCGCCAAATTTGCGGAGCTCCGCTGCAAATACAGGAAGAGACGAGAGGTGAGGCAGCGACGAGCTCAGCCTCCCCTCTGATTGCGCAACCCCTCAGTAACTGGATGGAGCGTGGGCAATAAGCGCGTCCCTGTTACTATCTCAGTATGTCACCAATGTCATGTTTGTAGACCCCTTCATTTCATGTACTCGCCTTCCATACTCCAGGTAACTTATTTCATGTATGTGTATAAGGATATATAGGCTCTCTGGTCTCGTCATGAAACTGCAATGAAAAAGCACCAGGGGAGGCAGTTATCACATTTGCCTCACTGAGGGTGACGTGTCTAACACGCCCCCCTCTGCGAGGACACGCCCCCCTCAGTGAGAACCCGCCCCCCTCAGTGGGGACACGCCCCCCTCAGTGAGGCCACGCCCCCTCCGTGAGGCCACGCCCCCTCTGTGAGGCCACGCGCCCCTCAGTGTTTGAATCTGGCTCTGACACTAGCCAGTGCCTCCCCAGCCATTGACCTCACCGCACGTCACTGGTGTGTATGTACGTATGTTGAACTTCTTCTGCCCCATACGTAGCCAACCGTGCTTGTCGGAGGTGCGGGGAAGGACAACAAACTTAACATAAAAAGCAGTCCTTAAGAAATTAGTTTTCAACGTAGATTTAAAAGTTCGTAGCTACGGTGGCTTCCTAAGATCGGAAGGAAGAGCGTTCTAGACAGCAGCAGAAGCGCATCTGAAAGCGCGCGATGCGGTGACCACCGTCTTTGTTCGATAGGTTAGCCAAAAGCCGCTGCTGCGGGGATGAGCAGAGTTCACCTGATGGTTTATGCTCCTTGACGAGATCAGCAAGGTGTTGTGGTTCGTCTGCGGCAAGCACTTTGCGTGTAACGAGTGCGACCTTTGCGGGGCCAAGGCAAACGCGCGATGTCGGATCGTTGCACGGAACTTGAGCGTTCCGTTTTTTGTTTGTTTGTTGCCGTGACTCCCGCAGAACGGCAAGTCGGCGTCGTCGGCGTCGTCGGTGCCGGGGATGGCCGAGCCGACTTCCCAGCCATCGACTCCCAGGCAAGGCCAGAAGGCGATGCGCGTCCTCCACAGCATCACGAGCAGCGTGCGCCAAGTCAGCAAGAGCAACAGCAGCGGTGGCAGCGGCGGCAGCGGTAGCGCCGGACCTCCCACTGCTTCCCCGCAGCGCAAGCACAAGGCCTGAGCCTCGCGGCGTGTGCCACAAACGATCGATGTTCTGCCCCGCGGAACCGTTGCCTGGCCGCGCAGTGACGCCCGCCGCGCGCCGGCCATTGCTTGGGGGTCCTCCGGTCGTTTCGCTCGATGTCACCGCCGAGTTTGGTTTCGCCCGTGCCGTGCTGGTTACGTCGGACTTTTACTGCAGAAGGCTGATTCTTTCTACCGTACCGTCGTATGTGCGGGGATTATTCTCTTGCGGGTGCCGTGGTTGTTGTTTTTTTTATCTTCTCGAGCAAAAAAAAAATTATACAAAAAAAACTGGCTGAAAACTCCCAGCCAGGGACTCTTTGTAAAAAAAAAAATAATAATGCCTGAAGCTTCATTTTATAAAGAGCATTATTTTAATAGAGTAGTATTTTGACTGCGCCGTCATTGTGTGTCTCGGCTCAGCGTTCCATTTATCTGCGTTGCTGTAGCCCTCCAATGGCAGCAGGACAATATGTATCATTGCGGCGTGACCCAGAAATGCATTGAGAGGCTTTCCTCTCGCATCCCTTGGTCTGTCGTTGCGTCGCCACTGGGAGTGCACACTGTTGTTGGGCCTGTAACTGGTTTGTTTTTGGCTGAATACTTGGAAAAACTTTGCTTAACCACATTCAATGCAAAACCGAGTTTTTTTTATTATTATTATTATTATTACATTGCGTATTTTGGTAAATTAAATTTGGCGCCTGGGATCATAGTTGATTTCTTTCTTTCTCCACCATTTGGGAGCCCAAGGTTTTGAAGCCGGAATCGGAGTAATGCGTCCTGCTCACGTGACTGTTGCATTTTTTTTTCATTCCCGTTCCACCAACCACAATTTTTTGTATGTTTTATTGAACAACATCCAACCAAAACAAAGGTGGTCTTTAAAAACAAAAAGCTTCAAATCCCCCCTCACTGATGCCTCGGTTTCATTTTATATACATCTTGAATTATATCTTCCAATGTTTATCATCCGCCGTTTTATTAAAATCCCCCCCCCCCCCCGCTTTGGTAACCCCACATTTCAACAAAGGAGTCGCCCTTTTATTTTATTTTTTTAAGCAAAATAAACTCGCCAGCCCACTCCTCTTTTACGAATTTTGATGAAAGTCCGAGCTTGAATCGGTCATCAACGTGGCTCAGCGTCGGAGCAGCACGCGGTGAGAACGCTGCGATTTCGAATCCTAACTTGGCGGAGGTTGACTCGGCCCATCGTACCTCCCGGGGGGGTGGGAGGGGGATGGATAAAATACACGGGGCGAATCAACGGTGGTTGTCCCGCGGATGGACTCTCACCTCCACCGTAGTAGGAATGCGGAATTTCCACCACTGGCTCAGCCCGGGGCTTTGAACAGGACCGTGAGCGCCGCCTCAACGCTCGTCTGAACGGTGAAACGCGTTGACTGATCTATGCGAAGGAGAAGTCTCCCCCCCCCCCCCCCCCCCAAATTGTAGACCACAATACAAAAATCTAATTCTATGTAAAAGTAAATTATGTAATTGTGTGTATATTAATAATCGGAGGATTTGCGTGGCCCTGCGTCAGCGTGAATAAGCAATGCAGTCTTGGGAAACTTGGCCTCGCGTTTCTTGTAAAACACGGCCTATCGCGACGAGTGGTGGTCGTAAGCCTCTCGTCCTGGTCAGCGGTGGGCTTGCCAGGCAAGGGTCGCCTGGTGTGATGCATGCTGCCTTCAGCTCCCTGAGACGTACTTACGCGATCCGACCCAAAAACCTTTATCATGAATAATATTGGTGGCGCAAAGCCTACTTGTCAAAGTGAGCTTTGTTGTCGAATGTGTGTTACGGCTGCTTGTCGCGATGACATTTCTCGACGCTTCGATTAATCTATGAAAATCTTATTATCCTGCACTCAACGATCCATGCCTCTAACCGTGCCCCTGGTGAGCATCGATTATTTCCACTTTCATGCAAATTCTAATCAAGTGACGTGCCACTTGATTAGAATTTGCCTGTAGGTCAGCGGAGTGAACAGAACCCCACGGACGAGCCAGAGAATCGAAACGATTCAACCGACGCAAACGATGCACCCGAGAGGGCAGCGCTGTGCCCTGGGCAGGCGCGGTGTGCGGGGAAGCCGGATTTGTTGGGAACGAAGCGAGCAGCGGTGGGTGGCTTCGTGGCGGGGCGGTGCCGGCAGCGCGACAGCGGCCGGGCAGGCACAGAGGGGGCGAAGATGGCACCGTGGTTGACCCGGGCGGCAAATTGTCTCGCCGCGGCTATGCGAGATGGGTAAACCTAACATGAAATGAGTAAAACAATTTATTTGGTGCTGCTGCTGCTGCTGCTGCGTTGGCCTTGGTGCACAAGCATGGATAACAACGATTAACTCGACACATTCGTCAATAATAACAACTGGTGTGTGTGTGGCGTTAAAAGGAAAAAAAATATATCCTGGGTGATGCTTCCAAAGGAATAGCCCTCATTTGCAGTGTAAAAAAATAACAGGATAGCTTCGCGAATTAGGTTCGCAATCTGCGATTGTCACATTTTAGTGACTTGAGGAAGAAGGGGAGGGGGTGGTGAGGCGGGGGGATGAATCGTCGCGGAGAACACGTGCAGTGTCCGGCCACGCAAAGCCTCTGGCTCACTCCGTGCGGTCCACCTAGAGTCGTGATTGAAAATCGGAGCATCAATGGGGAAAAACTATAACGAATATTGCAATCTCGCAACGTCAGCGGCCGCGTTGCTGCGTCTTAGAGCTACCGCGGTGGAGGTGCGGGCATGGTTCGTAAGCCCCAGGGGTGTGTCAGTTGGCCGGTCGATCGGTCATTTGAATCTATAGATAAGTAAATGGAAGATAAATTCCTAAAACTGGATCAGAATTCACATTGTTCCTGATCACGTGAGTAACAAAAACTCATCAATCATGATCAGGTTCTTCCATTAACCCTCTCAAGGAGCATGCCCACTGTGGTGCACTGCCATAATGCAAACTAAAACTTTAAAACTTAACTTTTTATTTAAGTTTACCAGGTAAGGCCCACTGAGCTATACAGCTCTTATTCAGAAGCGACCTGGCCACAAATGATATCTCAACGAAGTGGCTTAGCAGGTGGAAATGTATAGCAGCCAAATCCGGAGAAAAATGCACGTGACCACAGGGAGAACACGCAAACTCCAAATAGACAGCAGGCGTCAGGGATGGGGCCGAACCCCCACGTCCTCCTGCATGCCAGGTGAGGCAGTTAACATCTCGCCACCTGAGCACCCTAATGTACAGGGTAGTCCAGATATCTTGTGACCCCCAATTACTCGACACCCCCCAACATTTTTCCCCCTTAGCATATTCATTTCTGTTTTAAATCAACCTTATTTATTTCAGATGGCTGATACGAGGTCATATACTGTTCACGAGCAGCTCGCATCGGAGGCGTATGGGCTCATGAAAGATCACGAACCAGAAAAAAAAACGAAAGATCCTCGAAAGGATTTTGTTGTGAAAGAATGAAGCTGTTTTGCACAGGATCAATTTTTGGACGAAATCAACGAGGCCTGGGACACCTAGGCAAGAGGAGCAATGCACAGTGGTTGCCGAATCGATGACATGGGGATCACAAGACATCTGGACCACCCTGTATCTGACTGCTGTTAAAGATTATTAAACATTATTAACTCAATTTTAAGATTTTTTTTTATTCTTACTAAGTTCACATGAAAACCAAATGCCGTGCTCGGTTGTTGCCGTTAATAATTCACGCGCGACAGGGTTGAGCTCTGGAGAGAATGTGTAGGTCGTTCTGTCATTTTACGATCCCAGCTGACTGGTGCGTAACGCCGCTTGTCAGTGTGAGAGTGTCGGCGATCGGTTCTTGAGAAGACTTTGCGGAAGGCGGGATGGAGATACCCGTGGAGTGTCCCGGAATGTGAGCGAAGGGTTTTGATGGATTGTAGAGCAGGCTCAGAAAATTGAGCATTTTGACAAGTCAAGCTCTTGATGAGAGTGTGAGATGACGTGTGGTTATCTTTTCATGGTCAGGCGATATTGAAGGTCTGTTAGAGATGGATTTGTCAGAGCGTCGTCCCAGTGGAGTTCCCATAAAAGTTCACAAGCCAGTTGTTTTTTTTTTCACTTGCCAAAGAGATTATTTTTAAACGTCGCATTTTCTGTAGGTGTTAAGAATTGCATGTATTATTGAAATATAAAGTGGTCAGGATTTCCCCGCTCAAAAGAACAGCGGAGGCGTTTAATGATTCCCGATCAAAGAAATCATTCGTAATCTTCTCCATTGGTGGCCGAGCCTGACACATGACTCGTGGTCACTTGCATGAAATGTCCCCTTAGTTTCCTCTGATTTCCATTTCAAACTAAGGGAAAATAAAGCATGAATTGGTGATGCTGCGTTGGCTGCCGTGCAAGTAACAATGATCTCATAAGATGGTTAGGCGCTCCGAAGAAGCGCCATTGCCCGATACGTTCCCTCTTCTACTTTATTGACGAATGCGAGTGTTGCTGAGGTTAAATATTGCGTGAGACACATGCAACCCACCACTATCGGTTTAAGTTTTTTTTGTTAGTTCATTCACGTCTCTGGAGAATTGCCAATATTTTGCCGCAAAACGGACACTTCTATTGCCGGCGCTGCTGAAATCCCGGGTTCGCGATTGACAATCGAACGCCGTCGTGCACGATTGTCGAAAACTCATTTTCTTTTTAGAATTTCATTTTTTGTGTTCAGCTCGGTGTCCCTCCCGCCCCCCTCCCCGCACCCCGTCCGATTTGACACGGTCGGCCACGTACGGCGCGAAGGAAGTGCTACACGTGTGCGTACGTACCCATAGGAAAGACGGCGAATTCACGACCTGCTGGAGTCAACTGCTCGTTGCAGCCAGCGCGGAACGGTTGGGCCCAACGGTGGCAACGACTGCCCAACATTCGGCATTGTTCACTTGTGGCTATGCGAGCCCGGGGGGGGGGGGGGGAGGGGTGGTTTCCAATTGCTTTTGCATTCAGCGATATATGCTTCGAGTACGCAGCGCCTAGGTGTAACGGTCGGCTACACTGGACTTCAGTCTCCCGACGGTCAATCCGTGTCCATCCAGAAGATTGCGTGCGGTGGGGTAAGGTGTGGGTACACTCCCACCGTCTTTCCACGACGTTTGGCCGGTGCGGAAGAGAGGGCCCAATTCATTAGCTTCTAGAGGGACTCGCCAGAGCTTTGTTTTCAATGTTTCTAAATTTATTTATTTTTCTTCTTTGGTTCTTTCGGTCAAGTCACGTAGATAGATTCAAATAAAATAACCGAAAGACCCAAAGAACGTGATTTTCTTGCAGTCACGAAAGCTTTAAGTCAAGTATTTTTATATTATATTTCAGAGGGGTGCGTGGTACAGAAACTCCGTGGACAGAAGTCCCAAACGCTCCTGACTTTGGAGGAGTTTGGGCTCGCTGCCACCCTACCAAGTGGGGTATTTGAACGTATTGGCAGTACACCGGTGGTGCGTGGTATATAACACACACACACACCAAAAAAAAAAAAGCAAAAATTTTCGCGATAGCTATTTACAACCCCACAATTCGCAACCCCGCTCAGAAAATCTTGCTGGGTTGCTGCTGGTTGTGGTGGTGGTGGCGGCGGCGGTGCTGCTGCTGCTGCTGCTGCTGCGTCACAATCGGTTGTCGTGACGTCGAAGCGATCTGAATGCGAATGTTGACGAGTGGCTGAACAGGTGGCTTCTCGCAGTCTGTTGCCGCCGCCGCCTCGCAGCGGCAGCAGTCAGCCGTGATGACGATGGGGCTGGCTCCGTGTTCCAAAGGGAGAGGTTTGACTCCTCGTGCCCGACGCTCGTGGTCGGACGCTTCCTCCAAATCATTCCTTGGCGGACGGTGGCATCAAAAGATTTACGGCGCGTGGTGTCACCACCACCACAACCACCACCACCACCACCACCACGTCCGAATGTGAAAGGAGGCTGCCGAATGCATCCCGAGTGGAGAGAGTCTGCGGCACTCTCAAGGGGTAGCAACGGCGACAATGTCAGACTGTTTCACGGGGACCTGTGAGTTGTTATGCTGCACCGGTGTACCGCCAACTACGTCCATTTGTACTTTGATGT